ACAAAGAGGAACTTCAGATTACCGTAAAGGTCAACTTGACTTCAACTCACCTGCTGCCCGTGATCACCCATATCACAAGAATGGAGGATTACGATACCATCTAAGGCCACGTCATGGAAGAGAGTGACTCGCTATGAACTTTGTAAAATAATAAGTTACATGAAAATGACATTAATAATTACCTTTTAAATTTTTCATTGACAAATACTTACTAACTAACTTTGTGAGGAGTGATGCATGCCTCTCCCATCTTCAGCGGTGTAACATAATAATAAATGTGATAAACTTACCTAGATTGTTAATCGTCATTCATACGCAGCTCAAGGCGACAGGGTGGATATGGCGGTGGATGCCCCAGACAGGTGCCCCCAGATTTGCAGGTCTGTCGCTGGTTGTTGACGCCCTGCGGCTCCAGAACAATACGTTCTGGAACAACACACAGCGTGTTGTGGCATAAGTGAGATGCAACAACTGATGCATCCAACTCATGGTAACGATGATGTAACATGACACTGAGTCTATGCACATGCATCGTCTGCCACCTGTTCTTTATCGGATGCTTGTAGCACACAACACCATACTTGTTGTTGCTGCTTCTAGCCCCCGTCCAAATGCGACACTGACCATTCAATCCAGGGGCAGAGCCCGAGTTTACCTTGGCAGCATACTTAGTAAAAAATGCATTCATGGTTAATCTTCGAGAAATAAAGTGAAAGTTAGCAGACGAAAGTCGGAAAACTACTAGACCGAGGCCAAAACTCACGTCAATCATATCACGCCGCATCTCATTTGCATAAAGTAGGTCAAACAGTTAATGTAAAGGAACCCCCCCCCCTTTTTTCATAATTTTTCCCCAAATATTTTTCAAAATCAGAATTTTGTTTAAAGTATTGTCATAATTGATTAATATTAATCCCATAGTATACAAAAATGGCCGTAAAGTTGATTAACCTTTGAGTTTTGACCTTTGACCTGATAGGACACGGACTACCAATTATTTTGCTATACATTCCTTTATAACATAAAAATTCATTTAAAAAATTCACCGCCTCAATTCACCTGAAATCTGGCACAGAGCTAGATCAATCCAAGTCCAAAAATATTCTCAAATCTCAGAAAATTCTGTAGTCTACAAGCCTTGCTATGGCACTGCAATTAACCCCTACCCTGCATATTTCCATTTCCCTTTGAGAAACAGGTAAACAATGGCCTCTTTACACCCTTCCTACTACGCACTTAATAGCAAAATTCCCATTATTCTTAATTTTATAATTTTTTTCAGACCCTCTCCTTTCCATCTATGCCCTAAAATAACCCCATTCCACCCCATATACACCCCCAGGATTTTTTAAGAAAAAACCTCTATTTTTAATCTGGAACTCTTTGCGTGGTCAATGAAATAGGGGTAAAATTAGTATCCTGTAACCATTTAGGATGATTGTAAAACTAGCAGCTGTTGATTGTAAGACAATGTCCACCACACTGAGCAATTTTCTGACGTACTCTAACTTTGTACATGCTGTGTTAATAATGTAGAACTTATACTACCTTTCAGCTTTTCTGACTCAGTGGTTCTTTTGCGAAGATTTTTTTAAAATATAATATATTTCCTATATATTTTTGTCCCCCGCTTTCGCGAAAGCGAGGGGACATTAAATCTCATTCGTCTGTCAGTCTGTCAGTCTGTCCGTCTGTCAGTCTGTCAGTCAGTCTGTCTGTCCGTCACAAAAACTTTAACCTTGCTCATAACTTTTGATTTAGTGGAGCTATGACTTTCATATTTCACAAGTGTATTCCTAGTGACAAGACCTTTCTTTGGATACCACCAAATTTGACCTTTTGACCTTGACCTTGGAGTTTGACCTACTTTTACACAAAAATCCCAAACTATTACTTTGGCCATAACTTTTGAACGGTTGGCACTAGGGCTTTCATATTTCACATATGTATTCTCTGTGGCAAGACCTCTCATTGGATACCAACAACTTTGCCCTTTTGACCTTGACCTTGGAGATTTCCGTACTTATGAAAAAACTTTAACTTTGGCCATAACTTTTGAATGGTAAAGGCTAGGGTTTTCATACTTCACATATGTCATCATTGTGAGGAGACCCTTTATTGGATACGAAGAACTTTGACCCTTTGACCTTGACCTTGGAGTTTGACCTACTTTTTAAAAAAAATTTAACCTTGGCCATAACTTTTGAACGGTTCAGGCAAGGGCTTTCATACTTGAAGTGTGTAATACTTGTGGCAAGACTTTTCTTAAGAAAAAACTACCAATATTATAATCTATTTTGTCATAAGGGATCATCAGGTTCACTTACTTATAACTTTTGATTGAGAAGAGATAGGGCTTTTGTATCTGACATGTGCATTACCTTTGACAAGATTTGACACAATATGTCATAAAAATGGCATCCCACCCACAAAGACACCGAAAGCGGGGGACCACAATTCTTTGAATTTGCTTGTTCAATGTAAAACTTGTATTCTCCGTTGTGACCCCAACCTACCTTGGGGGTTATGATTTAAACAATTTAGAATATATACTTCCCCATGATACTTCTGCCAGACTTTCAACTTTTCTGGCCCAGTGGTTCTTGAAAAGAAGATTTGTTTAATTTCAATTAATGTAAAATTTACTTTCATTTTGAAGACGATGGCTATCATATGAAAAGATTTTTGATAGTTTCTCGTTTCTCGGCCAGCGCTCTCCCCCCCCCCCCCCCAAAAAAAAGCGTCATAGGACACTCTCGAGTCACAAGTAATCTTTGTGTCTGAGAAAAGCTTTTGATATTTATCCAATAAGACATGGTAAGGATAGGAATCTTTCATCTAAAGTGAACTTGGCTTAATAACTATCAATTAATGGCATATCATATCATAATAAGCGATAATATCTGTGAATTTTCCATGTAAGAAATTTAAGAAGGGATCAAGCATTACATTCAAATGTTTCTCAAGTACAAGTAATGCATGTCTCATATTTGACTGCAGACAAATAGACAATGTGACTGCTAAATACCAAAACTCATTTTTTTTCTGTTTGGCAAACAATAGCCTCTAAATTTTATGGTTGAAAAGTTATAAAAATGTGTAAGTTTACAACAGAAACACAGTGAAATATTTCACATATGGAAAAATATGCCCAATCAACCTCGGGGAATGATGCAGGAAAATTCCCATGTACACCACTTATATAAATAACTCCTGAACAAACATTGGGCAGATTTTAGCTTCATAGGTCATATTTAATTCATGATTCTGGATGCAACATCTGTATTTCAAGTATAACGTTAGTTATCAGATTTGGTAATAAAAATTCTTTTTAATGTTTGCACAATGTTAATGTCTCACTGTTATTTAAAAATTATGGTTAGACATTAACATTGTGCAAACATCAGAAAGAATATGTATCACCAAATCTGATAAGTATGATTTATTCCAATGCAAAAAAACTTTATTCTTACATAGGATGGTATCTAAAAAAAATGATGGTTATAATAGAGACATACTTGAAATACAAGAAAATACATGTATTGACACAAATGGAATATAATAAAGTTACATGTACAAACATAATTTATCATTTTTAATACGAATACGTACTTTCAAAAAACTTTTTTCTGCCTTTACATTCTAAAAGTATGATGTTTATTCATTATTCGTTTCCTTTTTCTTCTGCATGTATGATCGTATGTTGTTAATGCACAGTCTTGTATGCAGCTATCAAAGCCAAATCTTCATTGTTCTACAATACATATATAATCCTCTCAATAAATTTATTTACACATCTTGCTTTTAATGCAGTCAAAAGTATTCATCAAACAAAAAGCTAAATTTTATACATTTATATTGAGAAAAAAAATGCATGTTCTTTAATCATATCTACAGACAAAAAACATCTTCCTAAAGCCAACAATGAAATATGGAAACCCTTTACAATAATGTCTCCTTCAAATCTATTTCATTTGAATTTTAAGTCCATCAAAGTTATCTGTCCACTAAAAACAGATAAATAAATACCTTTCTACATTGTAGATTGGGAGAATAAAACGACCTACAGAATATTAAAGTGTGTCATTTGATTAGATTACAAGAGTAATCTGCTTTTTGGTGGGCGTGACAGGCGCCATTACATTGTACAGTCAGGTAAGCAATAGTAACTACATATGTATAATAAAAAATATTAATTTTGAGTTTTGACTGTGTTCCGTTTTAAAGCATTATATAATTACTTAATGTAGACTTTCGGGTTAGATTATCTTTTAGTACATGTACGTAAACTGTTTTTGAACCTTTCTGAGAATAATTATATAACTGACAAATCGGCTGGGTTTCTGTCAGGGACTTTCACATAAATAAATGCTGATTTGTGGCAATATGGGTGTTCAAGATATGTCTAACAACTCAATCCAAATTTTCACTTCGATTATGTGAAATTCAAATTGAAAGATCAATTTTCTGATGTTTAAATTATCGTATTCTTTTATTCTTACAAAATAAACAAATGCTAAACTTTAAATGCCTGCTTTCTAGAGCCAAATTACTTTGACATGGATCCACGCATGAGTGCACAAGAGTTGATGCGATGTGACTTATGTGAGACTCAATCGGTTCAGATTCATTGTGATACATGCCAGATCAAACTCTGCAATGGATGTATTGGAGAACACATGGCCTCGGATCCTGCTGATTTGAAGACAAAACACGAAATTGTAAAATTCAAATTTCGAAATTTAGTCCCCCTCTTCCCTTTTTGCGCCTCTCATGACAAAGAACGGTGTGAAATGCACTGTAATCAATGTCAGGCTCCTGTGTGCATCAGCTGCATTGCATCTCGACAACATTCGGGACATACGTTTATTAAAATTTTGCAAATCATAAATGAAAGAAAAGAAAAGATTATGAAAGATCAAAATGAATTGAATAATACAATATTTCCAACTTACGAAGAAATTGAATCTGATGTTAGAAACACCATAAAACAATTAGAAATGGAATACAAAGATCTTACTGCAGCCATAACAAAACATGGAGTTGACTTTCACAAGAAAATTGACCAAGCTGTTGAGAAACTTCATTCTAAGGTTGAAGAGTCGAAAACGAATCAGTTACGAATTCTACATGCACATCTTGATGATATTAAGAAGAAAAGCTCTAAAATAAAAGGTGAACTTAATTCAATCAATTTTGTTCTAGACTCACAGGACTTCTTAAAATTATCAAGTTTTACATTTACTATAGAAACATTTAGAAAACTTCCACAAAAAATTATGCCTTTCTGTGCTACATTCACTCCAAGGCAAATCCAAGGGGAGGAACTTTGTACACTTTTCGGACTTATATCATCAGGAAAATTAACTTCAGAAGAGCATGGTTACAGTTTCAGGGATTCGTCAGAAGCGGAATGCATTTCTCCAGTCAAACAGCTGCTTGATAAACCAAAGATCCTTACCACCTTAGAAACAAAGTTTGAAAAATTCTTGAACAATGTTGCCTGTGTGAGTGAAGATGAAATTTGGACAAGTGGGAATGTGTGCACCATGAAACGATTCAACATCATTCAGAGCTCATTACTGGAGGAAGTCTATTTAGAGGATAGCTGTATTCCCGGAGACATAGCAGTAACGAAACATGATTATCTTGTTTACACTGACCCCAAAGAAAGAACTGTGAACATTGTGAAAAATGAAGAGAAAATTCTTATCGAACTAGAAAATTGGAAACCATGCAGTATCTGCAGCACTTCGTCTGGTGACCTCCTGCTTACCATGGATAATGAATATAGTCAATCGAAGGTTGTGCGTTACTCTGGCTTCATGGTAACCCAATCTATTCAGTTTGATGATAAAGGCCGTCATCTCTATTCTTCTGGTGATATGAAATACGTCAGTGAGAACAAGAACCTTGATATTTGTGTAGCTGACAGTCGAGCTAAAGCTGTTGTGGTAGTCAATAAAGTCGGGAAACTGAGGTTCAGGTATACTGGGCACCACTCATTCACTCCATTGGGAATCTCGACGGACAGCCAGAGTCAAATTCTTACGGCTGATTTAAACAATCACTGTGTTCACATCATAAATCAGGATGGACAGTTCCTCCGTTACATAATGTGTGGACTGAGTTATCCCTGGGGACTGTGTACAGACAAAAATGACAATTTGTTTGTTGCTCAATGGAGAAACAGACAAGTTAAGAAAATTAAATATCTGCAGTGAGGTTAAACACTTCGTTACTTAAATTTGAACGACGACATTTTGCATTTTGCACCTAAATGTGTGAAGAATCCACATTCTCTAAGTGATGGTATCAATTAGATTTATTTAAACTCTTATTACAGAAGCAAAGATAGATCAAGGTCATTGTCTTTTCCTTGAAATTTAGAATAAAAATTACTGTACACATGCCAATCGTGTGATGCCTGAGAGAGAGAGGGGGAGAAAGAGTTTTTACCAATTTTTTGGCTCAAATCTGTAAACTAAGAGTAGAAACTTTTATTAATAAATACAACTAAAAAAAAAAAAAAACCAAGGGGGATTACTGTGGTTTTATTGCGTGAGAACTACAATAGCGAAACTCTTTATTTTTATGCTATATATAAATTACATTAACTTCAGTGTACATGAAAAGTTTGGGGGAAATCTACCGTCCGGGTATTTTTGAGGGACCGTACGCGTCTCAAAATACGGATACATTGAGCATGTTTAGGCTTTTTGTTCAAACTATAATATTTGATAAGTAACACTATATTATGCAATATAAGTAAGAAACACAAAATTCTACCGTCTTGTTACCATGGATGGGGGGCATCTCAAAATACAAAAAATTAACGATTTTTCCTGTTTTTACAGAGTACTACAAAACATGACGGAAACAAAGGATGTCTATTAAAACATACTAAACATAATAAAGATATTTTCATACTTCTATGTTTTAAATTTCAAGAGCCTATGTTTATTACTTTTTGTTTAATTACATTTTATTACCCCTTTTATAAGAGCTTCAGGTTATTGTAACGTCAGAAACACACCGTAACGACGTCAACCTACCTATCAATTTCAAAACCGGTTAAAAAATCAGTTATAAATTTTGTTTATAATTTCAAGAATTTAGCGAAAAAGTTGCTCTAAATGATTTTACTATGAAGCGCGAAATATTGCGCAATGGAAACCACAGTCGACCCCCTTAATTAGTTGTTTTTTATGTATGATGAAAAAAAATCTGTCTTTTTGAATTGTTTACATGTGAATATATAAGACATATTATTAATGATTAATTAAGCAAATATACAGACAAGAACTGGGATTTCATTTTTTAAATATATACACTTTCTGTATCAACAAATTTGACTTCCTTGCCTTGGATTTTTACCAACTTTTGCATATTTTTACCAAGCTTTAACCTTTGTCATAACTTTTGAAAGATTGATAAAGAATGCCAGTAATTTTGACGCAATTTGTTCTTTCTTTTGAAAAGATTTTACTTTTGAAGGCTTAGTGGGAGGGCTTTCATTTTACGGAATTTTTTTTATCTTCTTCAAGCACCCATCTATATATAAGCTGTAATTTGCATGTATGTTAAATGTATGTAAAAATAAAGAATAACGCGCGTTAGCGCGTTATGAAAATTTGTTTTCACACACCGTTGCAGTTATGAAACTATATCACTCAAAAAAATTACGATTCATTGGTCCAGAAACAAGACAGATTATGAGACTTTCTTTCAGCCAGTCAGAGCAAAGGGCACGTGCATGAGCATGTGCTCTTGTTATTTTGACCATGTCATCTTATCTACACTTCTAATATATTCATAAATAATGAGTTTCAAATCATTTCATTAAAATATAAAGGTTATAGCTATACCAAATTTATTGGCTATTTGCCACGTTGCACGTGTGCGCTCTTGCAAGCAAATGCACGCAAAATGACCTTCGTTCCGCAAAGCTATATAACACGCCTACTTACCCTAAATGAGAAATAATTGTATAGATTAATAAGGATGGTTTCAGAGAGGCAGGCATTTGAACATCATAGAAGGTCTACAATTTCATTATATTCTAGAAATATAGTTATCTACTTCATTTTCAATAAAATTAGGCCAACAATATAAACCAATCCAGGCATCCATTTATTTTGTTTCTATTATCTATCCTTAAGGTCTTTCTCATCGAACGTCAATAAATAAAACACGTCCATTAATAGTGAACAGATTGTTGTCTTTTTGTGTGTGTGTGAACATTGATAATCAATCCTGAAGACTGATAATAAAAACAAAAGACTTAGGAGCCACAGCACTCACCTGAGCACATCGGCTAGGAAAAAGCACATATCAGATCAGAACTGAAAGTTTACTGAGGGGGTGTCGAATTTTAACCCCCTAGGGAATCATGATTTGAATGAACTAGAATTTACACTACCTGATGATGATTCAATATAAATATTACTTATCATAGCTTTGAAGTACTTGAAAAGAAAATTTTAAAAGGTTTCCCTATATATTCCTATGTGAAACTTTGGTCGGCCATTAATATTTTGACCCTACCCTAGCCCCGGGGGTCATGATTTGAACAAACTTGAATCTACACTACCTGATGATAATTTCACATGAGTTTCATCTTTCCTATCTCAATGATTCTTCAGATGAAGATTTTTTAAAGATTTTTCCTCTATATTCCTGTGTAAAATTTTGATCGGCCATATTGCCCCCAACCTACCACCAGGGGTCATGATTTAAACAAACTTGAATCAATACTAGCTGAGAATGTTTCCACATAACTCTTATTTTTCCTGGCCCAGTGATTTTTAAGAAGAAGACTTTAAGAGTTTTCCTCTATATTCCTATGTAAAACTTTGATCGGCCATTGTGGCCCCACCCTATCCCCGGCGGTATTTATTTGAACAAACTGAATTTGAATCAACACTGCCTGAGGATGATTCCACATGAGTTTCATCTTTCCTGGCCCAGTGGTTCTTGAGAAGAAGATTTTTAACGTGTTTTCCTATATATTCCTATATAAAACTTTGATCGGTCATTTTGGCCCCACCCTACCCCCTGGGTTCATGATTTGAACAAACTTCAATCTAGAATACATGTACCTGAGGATGATTCCACATGAGTTTCATCTTTCCTGGCCCAGTGGTTCTTGAGAAGAGGATTTTTTTTTATTAAAATGCCATTAATATTTCTCTAATTCATAATTATCTCCCCTTGGAAAAGGGTGAGGCCCTTCATTTGATCAAACTTGAATCCCCTTTACCCAAGGATACTTTGTAGCATGTTTGGTTGAAATTGGCCCAGTGGTTCTTGAGAAGAAGATGAAAATGTGAAAAGTTTACGACAACAACAACAATAACGGCAGACGACAGAAAAATCTTTATCAGAAAAGCTCACTTGAGCCTTCGGCTCAGGTGAGCTAAAAATTGGAGGAATTTCGGTCGCCTGAAACAAGTGAAAGGAATGGATGGATCCGATGGATGGAGACACTTGTTCGAGCCAGTTAATTTGCAATCAATCAATTTGATTAAAACATTCACTCTCCTATTTCAGTAACTAAAGGCATATTCGTGATGTAAACTCGGAGACTCTGGTGACAGCTTACATTGATCTACGACAGCGCCGATAGAGATATTTGTCAGCTGTTCCTTGCTTGCTTGCAATGTTTTCATATTTTCCAACACATTTACACATTCATCGTGAATAGAATTAAATGAAAAAATAATAGTTTTAGCCCATATCATGAAGATTAACTTCAGTTCTACAGAAAAAAAAGAGGAAACACGTTAGAGGCTGTGCAGCTGACAAAAGTGACATAAGATGTTTAAACAAAGGCTAGTTTCTGTTGGTATATTCTCCATGTACACAGGTTAAATCGATCGCCAAAAATTGTATAAAATACTTGCTTACGTTGTAAATTTTTATTTATTTTACTTGCTTATTTTGTTCATTTTTACATAATTAGGAGCTAACACGAAGCTATCACAACACCTACATCAATCGAACATGCGTTAACTAGCTGTTTATGTCAATGTCAATCAGTTTATTACATTTATCAAATTTCTGTTCTATCGGTATTCGAATGTACCATGGTGCAGCTCTTTCCTAACTGAAGAAATGGGCGTATCAACAAGCATTCAAATAAACACAAAATGTTACTAATTCAAAGAGCATATTTTTGTAGTTTATGCTTCAAAAACATAAATAGATACATATAGATATAAGATTTAATAAATCCCATATATTGTATGGCATGTGTCCAGCGATATTACGCTATTTTTATCGACACCGGAAACTTCCATAAGGCGCTACCTATCGACAACGGTTACTTCAACAAAGCCTCTACCTATGATTTGTTTCTAACATATATAACATATGTTAAATAAAATCAAGACTATCAAAACAACATAATCTTTCGGTTTTTTATTTTTTTCTGATTTTGTTTGTCAATGAAATAAATTTGTAATTGTTGTATTAAAAAAGTTTATGTATAGGAGCATTTCGTGTCGAGATTAAATTTCCGTGACGTCAGCTGAAGGCGATCAGGCCCTGTGACGAAATTTGAAGTCAGCATGAAGTTTAGCTGATAACATTATCAACACGTTAGATTAAAACTTAAGGAAGAAATGTATAGCGAGAAATATCATATTTGAACCCAATGCTACACGAAAACCAGTAGGCATATCCGATTTATGTGTTAAATTGAAGCCTGAATCGAACAGGGCCGGGGTCAAAATTGCGTTGCACACCTTGTGTATTTATATATAGAGGGGGTAGAATGTTTCGATATTTGGCTAATTTAGAGACTTACTGATAAAAATTCAGGTGCCTGTGATTAATTATAAGGCACCCCTCATGAACAATAAATATTTGACCGTATTATGCTACTGGGCACAGGGAGGACCAAGGCCGTAACTACCATTGAGGCAAGTGAGGCAAATGCCTCACTAAATTTTAAGAGTTTTCTGAAAAGTGAAAAGTTTTTCATTGAAGTCGTAAATTATGTGTGTCTTCGTGCTAAATAAATATTTTGAACTTTTGTTTCATTTTCTGTATATTTTTGATCTCACCAGGTTACCTCATTTTCATTTAAAATGCATCATTGGAAAATATAATTCAAAATGTTTGTTTGTAAATTGTTTGATTGTTTAACATCCCTTCTAAAAATTTTCCTTCATATTGAGACACCACTACTTGCCGGTGGAGGGCTGCAAGTTTTAAATCTGTTCAGGGTCACTGAAGATAATTGAACAGAGAGAGATCATTTTTGTGCCATCACTTACTGTGACATAGGAAGATTTAGGACCTCGGTTTTTACGGTCTCATCCGAAGGACCAGTCTCCATATCCCGCAGTCGGATTCGAACCCGCGATGTAAGGATCAACTCCTTAGTGTGCGACTCTAGCTATCTAGAGCATGTGCTCTAACCACTGTGTCATGCAGGCGACAATTCCAAACGTACAATATTTATAAGGATAAAATCTTTTATTTTCTATACCCAGGTTTCAGGATCCCCCTCCCCCTGTTAAGCCGCATCACTGGCCAGAACCCTTGCCTCACTGAAAATGTGAGCCTAGTTACGGCCTTGAGGACGGGTTAATTACTGGCTAAAGGGGTTGGAGGTTATTACCGACTGCAAAACATCGGAGAATCTCTCGATCGAGTTTCATTTTCCTTGCCAAAATATTAAGGCATCCCTTTAATTAACTTAAGTAATACTAGTACACGAAGAAAGCCTTTATATAAAAATACTGAATACATCTGTAAGTTGTACAGTTATGGATTACATCCATAATGAAACGTTTGTTTTCTTCTCCTTTTTTTCTTAATTGAAATTATTTAAAAGATGATAAAAGCTTTGTTTCCAGGGATAAATTATGTACTCAGTCTAATTAATACAAACGATTATAAACGATCACATTTTTATTTTCAAAAAATAATAATGGAACCCTGAAAATACTAAAATTAATTTTTAAAAATTGGGGAAAAAATTTTTATCGGCATTCGATCCTCTTCTAAAATCAGCCGATATAAAATACGCACAGAAAAAAGAGGCATGGAAAATCTTGACAATTAGCACAAATTGAAAATTATATCTAATAAATGATTATTTTTGAAAGTTTGCTAAATTCCTATGCAAGGTATAAGTTGTAAAAATACTTTTTTAAATTCGAATTTGTCCAATTTGTTAATTATCATTTTGAGCCTTTGAGAAGAAGTAAAAATTAAAATACAGATGCTTACAGGCATATTGATAGAAATTCGCATAATTGTTTTTAAAAAAAAAAAAAAAAAAAAAAACCAATATATTGCTTATGCGACATATTGAAGAAAGTGACAATGATACCTAGGTAATTCTTGCAATGAACAATTAAGTTGTTTGTAATACACTGACTTTTAGTGAACCTTTGAATTTTTAAAATACTAGTATTGATGGATTAAACAACAACTTTCCTTTTCACACGTTTTTTTTTTTTACAATATTGCATGAAAAATTTTTGCCAAATACTCAGTATATGTTCGTGTATACATATCGTGCAAGACTCTTTTTTAAATAATTGTCATATACCATTTACTTATTCGAACATTTAATTGTATGAAAAGTCAATAATGTACATTTCTTAAAACTTTATTATCTTGTTTACTTGTCTTTCTTCCTGTGAGAGAAATAGTTCATAATATTAATAAACAGATGTACTCAGTATCTGTATCAAAATACAGAATGAACAGTGATCGGTCTCAAAAGAAAAACGGATCCTTGAAAGTTCCAGTGCCTAGGAGAAGTAAGCATCCCCAATGACAGGTCACACCTGCTGACCCGCAGTGAGCCTACGAAACTGAAGCTCTCTGTAATTAATTAATTCTCTGCTCGTCCATCCGTTTTTCTCAGACTAGCCAGCTAAAGATTTACAACTGTATGTACAGTACTCCAAATCAATTAATCTAAAAAATTTGAATTATCATTTTATTTTCTTTTTGAGTTGTTTGCTCTAGTAGCCTTTACAGTTACCTAATTTCAGAATCAAAAGAGCATGAAAGACAATTAAATTTGCAACATCATCATCATTTTTTTTTCGTTCTGAGCACTTTTGGACGCCACCAATGGAGACATTTAGGGAGAATTTTTTTGAAATTGAACTTCCTGTCTTTCAAACTGAAAATCTCAGGTTGATATTTTGAAACATACATATGTGACATCAGTCTGGGATGTTATTGGTTATACCATTTAGTTAAGAACTACAAAATTCAGTGTGTCTGCTTCTTCGCTGATGACATTGGACAAAGATATGCATGCTTACTTTAATATCATCATTCAATGCATTTTTTGTTATTGTACACTAGCTGTACATATTCGATGAGAGCATGCTAACCGCTTTTCAGTACTTTGATTTTTCATATGTACTTAAAATCGCCGAAGAGTAAAGTCATACGAAATAGAGCATGAATTGCAACACCTGCCAACCAAGAGCTGCCTTCCCCTTTCTTGGAACCTCAACTCATAGTAAAATTTTCCGAGCTCCGCCCACTTTTTCTTGTATATTAAAGCCAAAAAGGGTGAGTTTCTTTCAATTTGATAATAAATAAACTGGTCGAGGTGAGTTTTACCCGAAAAGGCGAGGATATCGTTCTTTTCTGGGACACTGTATAAAGTACAAAAGACACAAGATTTCATTAAGCCCCAAGAAAACGAAGCAGGCGATAGAACAACCATTGTAAAGGTACGTAGGCATTCAATTTTTACATTCTAAGAAGACCATTATTATTTGAAGCTTATAGTAAAAAGAAAAGCATCAAAGTGTCCTATTGAAGAAGTTGGGGGAAATGAATTTAAAAGTATTCACAAGGACGGTCACAGTGTAACATTGAATTAACATTCCCCGATAAATGTATTTTTAGTGAGTGCTAAAGCGCTTAAAATTGTGCATGAAAAATTAGTTTCTTAAATTTAGATAGGAAAATTATGCAAAGCACCGAAGTAAGAACATAAAGAAGAAGATTTAATATCCCATTTATCCAAACGGCTGGCTCTCGAATCATTTTACTTTAATGATGGTAGCGTGCACGACTGCTCGTGAGTTTGATTGGACACTTACAATTTCCCCCATAATAGAATTCAACTAGAAGAAAAATTTCTCAATAACACTCAAATTTATCCTCTATAAAGTTTTGTTCTTATTACCTAATATTAGGGATGTCAAAATTGTCAATAATTGATATTCGAATATTCGATGGTAGTATTCGAATATATTCGAATATTCGATAAAATAAATACATCTTGCATTATAATATGTATATACATGTATCTTCACTCTTATGTCAAGCAATATATACGTTTTATGTCATTATTTTGGAATAAAATTTCATGTAGAGTTTTGTTAATGCACTCTAATTCTTTAATTTTTAAAAAATTTTACAGAATATATGATGAGTTTATATCCAAAATGTAATAAATATTTTCCCCCGAAAATTCAAAAGATTCTTTTAATAAGTTCAAGATTAATTAATCATCTTACCAAAGTGTACACTGATAACCCTACAGATTTATACCACACATAGCAATTATCTAATGGAGAAACATTAAAAGCAATTACTTTTAGCTAATTAATATCATGATAATGAATTTTAAATGATGTATACATAAACAAAAATGTTTCCTTTCAACAATACAAACTAATTCTAAGTACTGGACACTGTTATACCTCTAATTAAATGATCTTAAATGATCAAATGAAGAATTTATATTATTTTAATAGACACACTCTTCACAACTTTAAGGTAACCCAAGAGGAGTGTCTTTTAGTTTTGTTTGAAATAAAATCTTATTATTGGTCAACGATGAGAATTTGATTCAATTTGACATAAAACACAAACTAAATGATAAAAAAGAAAAATGCAAAGCCTTTATGGAAAGTAATAATCGCATTCTAAAGAATAAGAGAGAGATCCAAAGAAAGGCTACAGAATTTGCAAAAACACTCATGGGAAGACAGGTAACGCCCTCTTATCACTTAATAAAAATATTATTATACCTCATATAAATAATCACATGTAAAAAAGAATCTGATTGGCCGCGGCAATCACATGACCGTCGTGTTCAACCTGCAACAAAACGTTGTGTTTCATGCATACGGATCACCTCGGCTGACTACGTATACTTCTAGATGTAATCAGCCGAGGTGTGTCGAATATTTTCACGTCGTGTTCCACGATTGTGAAGTCAAAATGCGGCGTATATAATAATTACTACTGATTATGTCGATATAAAATTGTAAAATATAAATATTTAGAAAAGAGTTCCCATGAGTGGAGAATGAATGTTACTACTGTGTAAATCAGACTGAATTGTCACGAAGGATTTTTATGAAGCGCTATATTTTAGTGGTTTTACTTACGCCTGTTACACATTGTTCTCATCAAATGTTTATTCTAAAAAATTACCTTATTTATTGTATTTTCTTCAAATTTCCTGCATTGTACTTGATTTGATATAATAAAAAAAATATTGTATGAATGTTCGGGAGATTAAAGATTTTTTCGCCCATGAAAAATTATATTCCCCCCAGGCGTTGCCCTCGGAGAATATATTGTATTATGAGCGAAGAAATCTTCATGTCTCCCTCACAATCATGCAATAGTTGTATAATATGTCCTGAGGTGATTTCATTTTCGTCGTCGTTGATTTATTTTTAACACTTTACCACTGGCGAACATGTTTGTTACATTTTACGTGTAGCTTTATGTAGCACTGATTTTCTATTCCTGTTTTGTAGATGAACTTGCTGTTTTGGACGCTCATTGCTGTGGTGACAACTTCAGTAATATTTGCACAGACAGGAAATGACATCGTTGATAATGGTATCTCCGCTGGCACCGAGTTGGCAAAAGCAATCGGCGATAAGGACTTTGCATCCACCATGGGGAAGCTGGCCACCAAAGTTGGTCCCTATCTTGGTATGGTTGGTCCTGCGATTGGAATTATCGCCGCCATAGCTGGTTTTCAACAGGAGTCCGCGGAACTGAAATTCATGCGTGAAATGTTATCAAGAATTGAAAATCGATTCGACAAAGTCGATCAAAAATTAAATGAAATCGCTCGCAGAATGGACTGGAACCGTGCCCAAGTCCAATTTTTCACCTTTGAAAAGAAAATAAAGGCTATGAAACTGGAATTGGAAAAGTTCTACAACGTCAGCAGTAAGGATTTTACGACCTTTCGGGATACTTTCACTACCATTTATGAATGTGTTTACGAGAACAGTGCCCAGTTGTTATACAGTCACATCGTATCCCATGGTTCCACGTTCTCTAGCAACGTTCTGGCGGAAGCCGTGAGGGCTAACCAAAACGACCGGCGCGATATGCAAGCATTCATGTTGGGGCTGACCAAACTTATTCTTATGGGAAGTCAGGTGGAAATGGCGTACTATAAAATCAAATTTCCCAACTCTCTCAAAGGCCACGAACAAAAATGGACCAATCAAATCAAAGAAATGGGAAAGGCCATGAAAAAAGTTGATAGTGATCTTCAGAAAAACTACAAGGATGTAGCCACCAACGACGCCAAAACGATTCTGACAAATAACAGAGGTGCTTCCAAATCAGATGTAGCCAAAAAGGTGTATGATAAACTAACAACGAAATTCTACTGGCGCAATTGGTTTGTAGCGGTCTATAATGACATCTCGGGCGATAAAAACCACTGGGTATGGGTTTGCAATGGTGCTCATGTCTTTCGCCACAGCGGCTTCAACTTAATCTTTGCAAGCAACTCCAAAAACACCAAACCTTTGAACACCTCCACGGCACGTAGTCTTTTGAAAAATGCATTTAAAAAATTTCCGTTTCCATTCCTTGGGGCTAAGGACATTTACAATAACATTAAGTTTACTCGGAGCTGTGGCAAATATACTAGTGTTGGAGTCGTGAAGGCAAACGCGAACTTCTCCCCGAAATACGCCAGCAATAGATACGTGCAAGAAAGACTAGGTCTACACTACGCCTTTATGTTCCATTAGCTTTTATGGTATACTGAATGGGGTAAAAAACGCATATTAAACTTTTGAATTGAATAAAAACTATTAATTTCGAATATGTTTTCCAGTATTAATTGTTATCATACATTTTAATTCATCTTTAATCAATCAACAAGTTAACAAAATATTGTTTGACTTTCACTGATAATTTTTTTTTTCCTTTTTTCATTTAAGATATCGTATCAAGAGTAATTTTGTCGTCTAAAAATTTGAATTTTTAATAACTTTTAGATGAAATAAGATTTTTAATATATTTTTTGTGTGAAATGCTATTAAAATATATTAGGTCCTAGTTGAAATACTTTACAGAAATTATTAACTTCTAATCTGTATCCATGCACCTCTAATCCTTGTAAACACTGAAGAATTAATTCATAATCTTTGTAATCACCGTATTACTAAGTAATCATATAATCCTTGTTATCGTTGTTAAGGTCTTATTTAATCCTTGTTATCACTTAAATTGTGAGTTTTTTATATAATATTGTAATCCCTAGTTTACAGAGCTCCAGATAGGGTGCGTATTTGCAGAAATACGCATTAAATTTTACAAAATACGCATTGAAAATTAAAATAGAGTGTACAATTACGCATTAGCAATCATTGATAAGCATTACACCACCAAAGTACTGCGTACAACAAGTTAAAAAATACAGGTACGACTTGCTTGATGATACGAATTGAGGTTAACTCAGTGTTTGATTTTTATCAAAACGAAATGCAGATTAAAAAGCCTTTTAGTGACCAGGAATATTCTAGCAATGACGACAACGATCTCCATTTCGGGAGGAAGAATCGCAGATTTAGATTAAAATCAATTTTCTGTAGAAAGACTATGCACTAGGCATAACTTTTTTTTATTATGGGTTCATAGCCAATTTTTCATCTCTCTTAACATGCCACATTTACGAAGATTCTTTTCTCTCAGTTTACTCTTGAAACGATATCTTAAATGAAGGAAAAGTTTTCTGTGTCTCTGACTCTCTGGCACCTTGTCCTACTGTATAATCTTCCTTGTCAAAAAAGAATTCTTCCCAATCATTGCATAAAGTCTTGTTGGTATTTACAAAATTTATTTGAATAAATGCAGGAACTGACTTTTGAAGTTTTTTCCCTCTTCAAAAACATATACAATGTAATTCGATTACAAGCTCAAAGTAAAGGTCAATATATAAACAAAATACTCTTCAATAATTTTGCTGAAAATCAAAATCTGCATTGATAAAAAAATCAGGGAGTAAATACACTTTGGGATAAAAAAAAAATATCTGGAGCTATGTCTAGTAAGTTGATTATTTTATCGTATGTTTTTTTTATTTGGTACCCTGTTTTGCTTATATTTTTATGTTATGCACTTTATTTTTCTTTATTTATTGTTATTTTTCAATGTTGTGTAAAAAGTGGCTTAATGCAAGAGTGTTATCGTTATTTTACTCAATTTCAAGCTTTTCTTGGTCTTTACTTTCATTTAAAAATAATAAAGTATTTTGTAAAGAACATCAACTGTTTTGTAATAGGAAAGTATAAAAATGGTATCAGATTTTACAATTTGTATTTCTTATAAGCTATAAAGCACTTTGCAGTTAATAGTCTAGAATAAAGTAATTTGAATTAATATAAAATATTGTTTGATTTATACTTAACAGAAACTGATTTACACTCTAATTGGTATATACTTGTCAAAATGCAAACATTAAATCATTTAAGCAAAGATACTTTAGTTTTTTATTTTAGGATTCAGACTGTTGCCTTTATAATACAATTCAAAATAGAGAATATTTAAGAAATAAACAACGTTATTCAGTGAACATGGCGTTATGAATAGCAATTGCTCTGCTGGCATATTCCATGATGCGCGCTAGCGCATCATGGAAAATATGCTTGCAGAGCTATTGCTATTCATAATGCCATGTTCACTGAATAATCGTTGTTTATTACTTATATTTGCATTCTTTGATTTTTTTTTCAAGAATATCAGAGGAAATCCTGACTTACATAAGGACGCAGCTTCTTGTCTTCAGTAAAGAAAAACATACGGCTTTAAAATCAGTAAACCTGATCAATGCTCCTTTTATCTAATAAATCACAAATTTATAAAGTATTTCCCTACAAAACACAGTTATCTGGATACAAGCAGCGCCGTCATCACATTTTTGTTTTGATGCAGTTGTGACGTCATCGATCAACGTTATTAAAACTCTCTGATAAAAATAAATAATTTAACACGATGATGAAAAATGAGAATAATCTTATAATGATTATTACTCCAGAATACTTTTCTATGATTTTTTTTTTAGTTTTTTCTAGTTATTTTTAATAGCTGAAACCATTCTTGAAATAGATAACGTTACTAGTTAAAGAAATTTTCTCTTTCTGAATGTTATTACCCAAGTGTGAAGAGTTATCGTTCTTTGTACAAATATGCATGATACGAAAAAATAAAAATATGGCAGTTCTCTACAATTGTTAAAAAGTTTTATTATACAATTAAATACATTGACCAAAATTGAATTTTTAAAGATATAAATCAGCAATTTTAAATATTCTGAATTTCTTTTTATTCAAAGAATATTATTAAAAACTTATTTTTATTGCTCTTACGAAACATTTCATACATATACTGTAGATCACGAAATTTTCGCGATACCTTATTTTCGCGAGATAGTCATTGACTCTTGATTAGCGATACTATAATAGTACTTCTCATCACTCTTTATAACTGTAGTAGAGATTGTTCTACACGAGTGTGATAGAGCAATTGCATTCATAGTAGTAGCAGTTGCGTCTATAGTCCTATGAATGCAGTTGCTGACTACATGTTCATAGTGGGAGAGGGCAGGGGATATGCAAATATAGGGGTATATTGGGTCATTCATGCATTAGATCTCTATATAAATTTCCACAACACAAACATTTACAGCATCAAAAACCTACATGTATAGCCAGTCCTTAAAAAGTACCAGCAGTGAAAGTGGTATCTGCTCCTTCAATGGTACTGGTAAGTTATTCTAACATCCTTGTCAATCCAAGTACAAATTATTTCTGAATTAAGGATTGAACTTCATCAGCGACTTAACTCATCACAGATGCTTAAAATTTTGACACAGTCTTTGTGAAAGGCATGTTATGTAGTGGGATCTATTTCCGTAGGAATCCAATGTCCACCTTCTGTTAATCTGTCTGTCTGTTTGTTCCATATTTCAGTCCTAGTTGTCTCATCAACTACTCATTGCAATAGTTTGAAACTGTTGCATATCTTTTTTGCTTAAAGAATGCCATACGGTAGGATTTAGAGATATGTATTTTTAATCAAAGCTGTGGTTTAGCTAGCTATAGTGAGTAACTGAGCATTGGCTCACAATCTTTATTTTAAGTTTCAAATACACAAACATTTCTACATTTTCAGCTTTCAAAAGATACAAGCCCGTGCAAAGTTAGAACACTGGCTCTCCTACCAATATCAGCAGTCTCAAACAGATATCTGGTAAAATATGCTTTAGATTTTTTTTTTAAAAATATTGTTAAATCAGAATCAGTGCCCTTTTTAGGAATCAGCGGTGTCTGAATTAGACATGTTTTGTCCATCTGAATTGGTAAAAAAAAATTTTTTATTTTCAACATATTAATTTCAAAAAAAAATCATATGAAGATTCGTTCCATAACCATTAATACATGTGTATTGGAGGGTTTCGTGTGAGTAACAAGAAGTTTATCCCCTTTTTCCTATAAGAGAAGCCCTCATTTAACCCCATTCTTCTCTTTAATGTCTCCTGTACTATTTTAGTTTAAAGGGATATAATTCTGGTTAAAAAAATATCAATGCATAAATTTCCTTTTTCCCGAGATCTTTGAATAAGTTATGTATGTGTTCTTTTACAATCTTACAGTAAACTACATGTATACATAAATTGAAATTTAATATATCGTTTTCATACACAGGCTTTTTAATTATAATTACATGTTTTGTTTTTAACACAGTTATTAGTTGCAATAATGTAGCCCTCTGTTGTTTTTTTTTCTTTTCTTGGGAAGGGGATATAAGATTTTAAAAATTTCAGGGAGGGCTAAATAATTGTATATGTTATATAATCTTTACTATACCTTCTTCAACGATTCACATTTTGACATACTTTAGATTCCTTTTTAATGATAGTACGTGTAAATAAAGTCATATGTCACAAATGACCTTCATCTTGCACTTTGACCTTAGGAGAGAACGAACATAGACCTGCTGTTCAATTAATCCATTGCATTGATAAAAATATAAGACCGGAGGAGTAAGTTAGACGTTTTTTATTCTGACGTTGAACTGTTTGGCACGTCATTCAGCACATTGGACAGGGACAACGACATTTGGAAGGGGAGGGGGAGGTAACTGTGCAGCTTCCTGGAGAGGAGACTGGCTGGCTGACCCACCTTAACGGTCAGTGGTCCTTGCAATTGGCGCACCGGTACAATCCATGGTATCCTACAGTGACTAATGGTAAAGCCATATAGGAGACTCTCATGAAATGACAAAAACCTCACTGACTGTGATATTTCTTATTTATTAAAAACTTTAAAGTGAAGTTTGAAGATATTAACCTTTTGTATAGTTATTTATACATGTACATACAAAATCAGATACGTTAATGATAAATGATGTCTGTATCTTATATATTCATGGTGGTGCTATCTATATATCATTAGTTATTGTTGACCTTAATCATTATATAATTTATTGATACAGTCTTCTTGGTTACTGAAAATATTATTATAGCCATATTATCTAATAAAAATATTGCCTTACACACTTCATGTCATTTTTTTTATTAATCTTAAAATATTATAAGATAAATGAATAGCAACGAAACTGCTTACGTGTATTTCTAAATATTTACATTTCCAATGTCTTTGTCCGAGATAAAATTACAAATTGTAAATGTAATTGATTTCCTCATGAATGTTTTGGCACGGTTCCAAAAAAAAACCACGTGCAGGGCGGGACAACACCTAGAGAGAAGCAGGCTTGGAGCCCGTGGATTGGCGGAATTAAAGCATGTAAATATAAGGAATAACTGTCAGATTTTTCAAATTCATGAAGATGATCAATGGATTGGCTTGTGTGATAATTTTATGCATAAACGCCGTCGGCGTTTATGCAAATTATCACACAAGCCAATCCATTGATCACTTCATGAATTCGAAAAATAAGACAGTTATTCCTTAATTAAAACATGCGATGAATTTTAAATGCTCGCATCCTTGAATATTCAGACAATCCTGGACAAAGACTACCTTTTATTAATAAGTCCTCAGATAAAGTTTATATTTAGATTTACTGTCAAATACATGTAAAAAATATTAACATTACTAGCAAAATTTTTTATGCGCCCGAATTTATTCGGGGCATATATTGTTTTTGTCCTGTCTCTCTGTTTGTCTGTTTATCTGTTTGTCTGTCTGTTGTCAACTTTAACCTTCGCCATATACTTTTGAACAGAGAGAGATAGAGACTTCATATTTGGTATGCATACTCCACTGATTAAGCACTTTCAACTGACACCAAGGTCAATGACCTTTTGACCTTGACTGTGACCTATATGCTAAAAATAGCTTTTTCGAACTTTCGCCATAACTTTTGAACCATAGGAGATAGAGACTTCATATTTGGTATTCACACTCCACTAATTAAGTTCTTTCAAATGACACCAAGGACAATGATCGTGTGACCTTGACTGTGACCTATGTGCTAAAAATTAATTTTAGAACAGTGTTGCCGCCGGGCGCATAGTGTTTCACAAACACATCTTGTTTTCGTTTTGAAAAGAGTATGGAAAGCTACGATATTCAATTAAGAAATGAATCATTATTTTTTTAAGATACGCGTATAGTATATTTACTGTAACGATGTGTATTCAAACTAATTGAGGAACGCGCTTTGGCGCTTTACGAAAATTTGTTTGCACACACCGTTGAAGTTACTTTATCTTTCAAGAAAAAATTATTCATTGCTTAAATTTACAATTTTTAACTCTGGGCCTTGACTTCAAAAGTTTTTAATATTTTAAAACTCATGTATTATGCTACAGTTAATGGAAGAGCCATCAAAACTGCTTCTGGTCAATGTTCTTGTGATTTTTGTATTTTCCTTATTATGTGCACCTCCTTCTGCATTAAACGTTTTAACCTTTTGACCCCCTCTCCGTGTCATGGTGTTAAGATAAGATAAGATAAGCTTTATTTAAAGTCAGTATGGTAGTTAAAAAAATAACACAAGCTCTGAATTGAATGTTATAGATGTCCATGTATTTTATACGCAAAAAATGTGTAATGTAAAATTTTATATAACACCAACACGAGGATTAGGAGGGCAAAAGATTATTTGATAACTTGGACATCACAAACGTTGAGGGACGTGCAAGTGCAACTTCATCAACGGAACGCACCGACATTGATCAGTTTGACGAAAGTCACACATAATGTATTTTGCATTAGCTTTCCCTTAATTGTAATTTACGCAAAGAATAGTATGGGGATTTTAAGATAAAGTCAACTTTGTAGACAAAGAAGGGCTTTAAAATGTAGATACATATATATGCAATGTAATATTATTTTTCTTTTAAAAATTGCAATTTTAAACAAAAATGAGTAACGCGCGTAACACCATTGTATGTGCATGTACAGTATATTCAAAGGAATGGAACACCAAAGAAAATACAACTAAGAAAATCCTTGAACTGTCAAATTGTGATAATTGTATGGATTAGAAGTTTACATTGGAAAACGTCAAACAGGGAAATGAATAGTTTCGTTAAACAGGAAACCGGTCCATCATTTACCAAAATGCAAGGAAACCTTTTCAATCCCTTAAAATGACTTAATTTCCTTGGACAGAAAAGTAAACATTCATTGAATGAAATCTAATTGATTTCGAAGCTCATAGAATTACAGGTTTTGTTTATTTTAATGCTTTTTCCCCCATTTTAATGTCCTTTTCGATTAGCTGATTTTAATGTAATTTTAGCTGATTTTAATGTAACTTTAGCTGATTTTTAATATATTTTAATACCTAGTATACATTGCCTTGTTTATATTCAGCTCTATTAATGTCCTATTCTACATAAGGTATGGGAAATAATTTGAACAAACTAAATTTTACATTATGTCAGGAAAATAAAACTATGAAATGTTAAGATCGATGTCAGCAAAGCATACACACCGGTTGCAAAATTTTAATCAGAATTCAAAAAACTTGTCTGATAAAGAAGCAAAACCGAAATTGTTCTCTTTCGACTATAAATAATTCAGTTCTGTTAATTAGATTCAAAAGATTTTATCTGACAATATTCACAACCATATCCATTTTATCTCTGACAATATTTACAATCATATGCATTTTTATACATGCATGTATAATAGCATTATTAACATCCAACATGAACAATATTATACTGTTACAGTATGTATATCATTGAGAGAATTAGCAGTCTTAAGTCCCCCAAGGCCAGGACTATTTCTCTAATATACAAATATTATCGTACATAGTTGGCAGTGTGATAATTTTTATTTTTTTTTAAATAAAAATATAAATGTATGCGAAGCATTAGTCAACGAATTTTTTGGAAATGCCTCGTACATTTACTTTTAACTCTGTTGATATTCATATGGCGGATTTAGTTATTTAAGGAATGAACGCGAAGCGGTTTATAAAAAAGCGTAAACTGCCCCAAGTTTTGTTATATCGTATAATATCAGTTGAAATAAGCTTCATTCCTTATAATTTAATTTCAGTGCAGACAATGAGACAAATTTTCCCCCAGAATAAGGCTTCACATTTATTAAATTTTAAAAGTAACATCAAGCGGAGTAATACGTTTTTGGACGTAACACATTGTGACGTAGGCAAGTTATGTTGGAAATGGATAAAATTTTTTATCCAATCAAATGACGTTTCACAAGCAAAATTAAATTATTAGAAATTAAAATATTGTATAATACAATATATAAAAACAGTGATCCTTGGACTTTTCGGTCAGGGATAGTAATTCAAGCTAATGAAACGCTTTCAGAGCATGATGAGATAAGATGTTATGATTCTTTATATCTGCAGCTGAATATCATCTTCAGTTTTAAAAACAGTGATCGAAATTCGTGCCAACAGTCAGTTAAGGAAGCTTATAAATTAGTATCACTAAAGAAAAAAAAAGGAATATTGCTGCAGCAATTTATATTGATCAGAAAGAAAAACTTGTAATCCCAAATTATAGACTTTTTTTTTTTCGTTAAAAGTGCATTTTTTATCGGGCAAGGAGATGAAAATGATTGACAGCATCATTACGCAAAGATAAAAAAAAAGTCCTTAACTTTATGTACAAAATTACACCTTATATCTTATTTACCCCTGTAAAATAGAATTTTGACGTATTTGTTGTTTCAGTATATAAATAGTGGATTCAGATGAATTTATTTTGTCTGTCACATACCATTGTACCATAATTCAATTAAGCGTAACATTTTGATAAAGGGTTTCATCTTTGTAATTTTTTAATTCCTGATAACTATGTACAGCAGATGATGAAGTTCCATCCTCGTTATTTATCTGCCTGCTATCTGAGGCTTCCTTTGAAGCACCATCCCGATACTTTATCTTTAAGCATCCGCTCCTTGAAAAGATTAAAAACTAAAAAAGCATGTCTCAAAAATATTTTGCCAATAGTAAGTTCATCTTATAGTACATGTTATTATAAAACAATTTACTTTTATACTTTTTCGAGATGTAAAAATATCTAATTTAAATCTTTACAGAATATCATAGTTTTCTTTTCAACACCACGTGCACATTCTTAGAGAGAGAGAGAGAGAGAGAGAGAGAGAGAGAGAGAGAGAGAGAGAGAGAGTTTAGAAGTAAAATTACCTCTTGTGTGTCAAACTGACTATTACTATTAAGCACAAATTCAGTAGCACTGACATAGTAAGTCCTAAAAACCAGTACAAAGGAATGGGAAGAATGGAATCTTTGGGGGAATTTCCATGTAGTCCAGTACCTTATTTTAATTAAAAACAAACAGTATTATGTTTAAAGAAAAATTCCGAACTAACATTAGTGTTAATGCTTACATAAATGAACTCACTAACCTTTAAAATTTAGTTAATTATGACTGACTGTGAAAAAAGGCATTTTCTTTCTAGAAAAGTGGTTAACTTTAACAGACAGGAATATGTTATAGAAGCTGATATATATGTACTTAGAATGATTTTTTAAGAAACAAATGCTATTGGTACCATTCAATTGTGAACAGTTTCCGGTCAGTTGTGAACACTTTGGTCCTGTGTAAGTTTCTTGGCATCCTCTTGGACAAGATCCGCTGTATCTATCGCACGAGTCATTAAATCCACAGTGTGAACTACACTCCTCTTCACAATTTATTCCGTAGAATCCAGAGGAACATTCTGAATTGTCATAGAAAAAGAATAATTGCTTTTAAATTCATGCTTTGTATGTGTTAATCAAATCAGAATACAGACTTAGAGGATTTTTTAGATAACATTTTGATAACCTTGGCTACAATTGATACCCATCCAACCAGTCACACAAATGCAAGATCCGTCTGTATGCAAACATGTGTCCATGCATTTAGGAGAGCACATCTGAGAACAATTTCTGCCATAATATCCGTTATCACACACTGCATAATGAGAAATTACAGAAACTTTACATATGAACTATCAATTTAGGGTCTTTGCGTATCTGTATAAAATTTGTTTATTTGAAAGTTTTGTAAGAAGCTTAAAATTTTTATGTATTTTCCCACACTTTTATTGCATCTGTCTTCTATATATCCATTGTCACATCCGTTAGCGCAGACTCCGTCTATGTGGTCACAAGAACTGTCATTCAAACAGTGTCCACTACAGCGTTCCATACATCGACTTCCAAAATGGCCGACAGGGCAAACTATTTCATTGATTAAAAAATACGTTAAAAATGGTCAATTTACTTTTTCGGTTTTCTAGTAACAGAGAAACTAAGATTACCGCTGTTACAGAAGTTGTTAGTGTATCCCGCCTCACAGCCTTTATCACAGTGTCCAGTTTCTTTGTTACAGGAATCGTTATTCCTACAGTGACCGCTGCAGTTGTATTTACAGTCCACACCATAATATCCTTCTTCACACCCTGAAAATATTTTTTCCAAAATTTAACTTGTATATACATAGTATTGAAATACCACTACATGTATGTTAATGAAAAAAAAGTTTATTTTTGAAAAAGAAACCACTCTTTTACGGATTTAAAATTCACATTATAAGCTTGCTTTGTGAATTAATGAAACCAATGCGGAAAAATATGTACGTACGTTCTTCACAATAAATTCCTTTCCATCCTTCATCACATTCATTGTCACATTGACCAGTCACGTGATTGCAATAAGCATTGAGTCTGCAGTGTCCAAAACATTGCACTTTACATTCAAGACCATACCATCCCCCGGAGCACTCTGTGCAAGCAAAGTTTCAATTCAAATATCATATTTAAACACAAACCTCAAATTTTGACAAATGTCTTTTGCTATACAGTCGGGGTAGTTCTACTGGTTTCTTAAACCTTTTACAATCGGTAAGAATGAAACTAAGCCTTTAATCTTTTCCAGGAAGAAAACTGTAGTATGCATTCTATGTACGAAGGTTGTCCATAACTTCCGTAGACAGATGTAGTTTTGGATCCGGATAATTTAGGTGCCATAACTTGAAGAAACTTTGTACAAAGATTATCGAAACAGTATCCAATAAATATATGGATAAACAATGAGTAAGTGCACAACAGAACCTTATTCAAATGAAATATATTTTATTGTTCAAGAAGGCGACACATTACCGAAATATTGCAAAATCGATTTATAACTAAGAATCGTAGTATAACCTATTCGAAGGTTCTGGATCTCTTTTTAAAAAGATCTGAATCGGTAGTTTATCTCTTTTTTTTTTTTCGACGATTAAATAGATTGCTCTTGGTGATCGGAAAGACCGGAAATTTTTCAATTTTTATACTCGAATAGTTTTCAAGTATTTATGTGTAATTTTTTTTCACTGTTATAAAAAATGAATGCAAAAATGACTTTAATAAAATAATAAAATCGTACTTATTTCGCACAAAGTTCCAGTCCACCCTGGTAAACATCCCAGACAGGTTCCGTTGATGATGTCACACCTCTGCTCTTGACAGTTCGCGGGACATTTTTGTTTGCAATGTCTTCCATAGACACCTGCTTTACTACAACCTAATCAAGGTTAAGACTTAAAAATAAAAAAAGTAAAGGCAAAAAGTATGTCCTTACTCTTTTAAATAAACTTATATTCCTGTGTAACATGATCGTACGTTCATTAAGGAATGAAGCTTATTTCAACTTATATTATATGATATAACATAACTTGGGACAGTTTACGCTTTATAAACCACGAAGCAGTTTATAAAAAAACGTAAACTGCCCCAAGTTTTGTTATATCGTATAATATAAGCTGGAATAAGCTTCATTCCTTATAATTTAATTTCAGTGCAGACAATGAGACAATTTCACCCCCAGAATAAGGCTTCACATTTATTAAATTTTAAAAGTAACATCAAGCGGAGTAATACGTTTTTGACGTAACTCATTGTGACGTGGGCAAGTTATGTTATACAAAATGGATAAAATCTTTTATCCAATCAAATGACGTGTTACAAGTAAAATTAAATTATTGGAATTTAATTTATTCAAATCTGTCGTAAACTGGATTTGTATATCCATGAACAGTACAGTCTTTTAAGTTAATATACAAAATCTTTCTGACTTAAAAAAAAATGTTTTCTCAAATCGAGTATTCAAAGCTTCGGATTCTTAGATCTATAGTCATCATATTGATTCAAATCTTACATAAATTAATTATAGTTATAACAAGTAATTTGATTGGATAAAAGATTTATTTTTATCGTATAACATATTAAGTTGCCTACGTCACAATGAGTTACGTTAAAGACGTATTACTCCGCTTGGCAGTACTTTTCAAATATGCTCAGTTTCCCTTATTGACTACACTGGAATTAAATTATATAAAGGCAAAAAGCTTATATATTTTAAGCTATGTTATACGATATAACATATGTGTAACTTGGGGCAGTTTACGTTTTTTCATAAACCACTTCACGGTTTATAAGGCGTAAACTGCCCCAAGTTATGTTAGATCTATATAGTATACAATGTAACATAGAGTAAAATAGGTTTCATTTCTTAAATCACAATCTAACTACTGGGTATCTAATTATTTGCTATTTTTGACGTTTGACAGCATTTATTACCGAATCACGCTTGATAAACCTTCAATTTAATGTTGAGACTTTAACTAACCGTACACTATTACTTCGCACAATTCAGTGACTGTCGTACGTTGGTATCCATCTGGATATTGATTTTCATCCAATCGTTGATTGTAAAAAGTAACATATCGTCCGTGTCCGACACATGTCGTCGTAAAGTTTAATGGAGGCAATTCTTGATCATCTTTGTAACACATGACATCTCTATATCTTACACTAGAATTTGATAAATAAAGAAAAAATCCCGCAAAACGGCCTCTTTGTCGTAATTCTGTACAGAACAAGTTATAATGAGATTAAACATTCATTTCAATCTAATAAATATTATATGATTAAAAAAAAATGTTTCATAGTCTATTTCAATGGGATCTAGTGCATATACAGGTTAATGTACGGGTTACAATGGTGGTATTTAAACATATTAATTTCTTTAATGTTTGTTTGTTCTTATATGAAAATATTGTTTACTTAGTGTACGTATTTCATATATATAAACCAAAATAAATATGTATTCACAATTTTGTTTCTTATTTGATAAGTCATTTACACAAATCATACCTGCTTCTTATTAAGAAAAAACTCACCATAACCGTTATAATTCTTGAACAGGACATTGATGCTGTAAATACTGTAAACTGCACCGAGATCTACTCTCCACCACACCGTCTTTGTATTTGAAAGTCTTCCTATTTCAGTGTTTCTTGTACACGTAGATTTGTCTCGGTCAACTGCATTCGCTGATATGTAAAATGTTCTACACGCTTCATTCAGACATGGAGGAGTTGAGCTCTGACTGGCGGTTTTACCCATTGACAAATCCTCTGTTAAAAAAGAAAACAAACATGTTAATTATGAGGGGTTTTTTTGTGTGTGGGTTTTTTTTTTGTGGGGGGGTGTTTACCAGGGGATTCTTCTAATATTTCTTGTATTTAAAAATGAATGAAATTTCATAGATTCATATCAAAACAATATCACTAAATATGGAATAATGAAGATTGAATTTGACCGCTTTTGCAGGCCTGGACGATTTCCAAATATGGAAGTCAAGAACGATTACTGGTAGATGTTATATTGATTGATTGATTGTATATTGTTTAACGTCCCTCTCGAAAATTTTTCACTCATTTAGAGACGTCACCGTATGCCGGTGAAGGGCTTCAAATTTTGACCTTTACTCGGCACTCAGGGCCATTGAGCAGTAAGGGATCTTTATCGTGCCAACGCCTGCCGCTGACACCGGGCCTCGGTTTTTAACGTCTCATTCGAAGGACCCGCAACTTTCACTTCAAAGTGCCGAGCGCATGGCGAAGGAACTGTTGCTACCCAATTTAACGACTAGGTCAGTCGCGGCGGAGATACGAACTCACGACCGTGAACGGTGATAGTTGTTATTATAAATATACAATCAGTCATGTACTTCCGTAAGTCATATCTTTTTAATCAGATCGCGGGTATGTTAAGAAAGCATTCAAAAAAATCATTTCTCGTAAAATTTAGACTTTTTAAAGAAGGGTAAGCTTGATAATTTACCAAAGAAGCTGATAAAATGTTAACTTTTATTAACTATTGCATACGGATAAAAGAGAGTCTATATGGCCTTAATTTTAAAAAAAAGTCACAGAACGACAGTATCCTGGAGATTAATCACATCATTGAATAAACAATATAGTTGAAAAACATTTATTTTTCCTAAAATGTGCTGCTAGAATCCCACTGTCCAGTTAGTAAAATAATTATTCCACAAATTCGCATGAAATCTTACCCGATATTTTGAAATATATACATATAACCCGAGATATTTCATAAAACCATGCTTACCTCGGGATTCTAGCAGCACTATCCAAATATTTTAGAAGGCAAGCTTTCGATCTGTACAAATTTTATGTTTGGGAAATATCCAGCTTACTGTTGTTCTTTTGCACTTTTTTGTCACGAATAACAGAGAAAAGGCAGACTGGGATACGTATATATAACTGTCTGACTGTCTTCGAAAGAAAATATAATTGATAGAAATATATTAGCATACCTGTTTAATAAACTTAAACTCAGTATGAATTTCACATTATTTCCAAGATATTTGCATCTAAACCCACTTTTAGGTATCTTTGTACATGTAGTCTTAACCAAATTTTCTTTACACAACATGATCAATATTCCCAAGTTACTTGATGTACACTTATGACGTCATTGGTCGTCGATTTTGATCCAACAAAATTATAACATTTCATTTTTGTAAATGTTTACATGATCTGTTGTATTAATATTCAGGCCTAATAGGTATTTAATACAAATGAAAATGTTAAACCGCATTAATTTTATCACTTTATAAATTTAATTCATCCGTATTTTGTAAAATTCCACGGAAATTTGGATGGCTTTTATATTATGATGTTGACAAAAGTTATAACATCAAACCGGCATACTCTAAAAACTAGCCTGGCCCCTTTGGCCTGGCCTGGCCTCTAAGTTGGTCTCTGCAAAAAAATTTTGGCCTCAATTTTGGCCTCACTCAAAAATAATTTCTTTTTCAGAATTTGATTGATTTGATTGAAACCATGAAAAAAAAATATTAAAGGCACATTTACTAAATCATTAAGATAGTATCTTATTGAAAGTAAAACTATATGCTCTATGTTATAGTCTTTAGAATTGCAACTGATCAATAGGAAATCAATAAAAAATAAATCAGGTTGCAATTAGTGTATTATTATTTTAATGTTCACATTTACATAACAGAAATATATTATTTACCTGCTTAATCTTTGAAAAAAAAATGAAACCAATAAAAAAAAATCAATCAAATAAATCAAATTCTGAAAAAGAATTTTTTTTATGAGTGAGGCCAAAAATTTTTACAGAGGCCAAATTTGAGGCCAGGCCAAAATTTGGTTTGAAGCCAAATTAGAGGCCAAAATAGAGGCCAAGCCAACTTAGAGGCCAGGCCAAAGGGGCCAGGCCAGGTTTTAGAGTATGCCCGTCAAATCGTTTCGAAATGGCTGAGAAATCGAGGTTAGCATACTGTAAATCACTTTTTATTCGCGAGAACTTTATTTTCGCGTAATTACGCGAGACAGTGTGCTCGCGAAAATTTATTTCTCGCGTATAATAGTATTCCGTAAGATTATAAAAAGCAAAAACCACAATTCGTGAAAATTTTGTCTCCTAATCAAGAGTCAATGACTTACTCGCGAAAATAAGGTGTCGCGAAAATTAAGTGATCTACAGTATATTGAGATAGGATCGACATTGTTCAAAAGAGGGACGTTTTCGGAAAAGGTGAACAAATAGCAGTTATAAAATTCTGCGTAGACATTGGAAAACACCAGAGAACACCAGAGAAGATTCTGTAAACAGTGAAAAAAAAACATAGTATAGGAAACTGCTCTAAAGTGGCAGTGCTTTAAAAATTGAATTTCGTAACGTAACTTTGTCATATTTCCGTAAATAAAGTCGTTTATAAGCGGACAGAAGTTTAATGATTTGCAGGATATGAGACAGGAAGTTTTGAATATTATTTTACGTAATGCATGCAACCTGAACAGTTTATGATGACTGGTTAAAGCAAAATAAGAAACGGTGACTATGTTGAGAAAAGTTCCATGCATTAAGCTTTTGACCTCGGGTAACGTCAAAGATTTTCGTTTTAATGCTCCGGGTATGGGTGCAAGTCTTTTTTGTGTCTCGATTTAGTGTCTCGATTTTGCTTAAAACCTGCAAATTAATAACACGAAACGTGAATGTAATAAAAAATAATGGTTTCAAATATTTTATCGATGTTTGTCAGTAATTATCAATGTTGTTTACGAATTATTTTACGGACAACCCTCGTTTCAATTAGTTGAATGCTGACTGATGTTTTTTTTAAAAAACTGTTAGGTCATTATTTACACACTGAATGGTCTGGACATGACAAGGGGTGGGTGTGACCAGGCGTCAGGGAATGTTTTCTCCTCTATGGCACCTGATCCCACCTCTGATGGTTTTAGATATCCGTGTTTGCTCCTGATTTGTATTGTATCAATGGATTTTTGAGTTTAGTTACTCTTTATTATCTCCTTATATCATTATACCTATATCCAATATCTAATCAAATTAAGGGAAATAGGCTTCAAATCATGATTCAGCTTCCAATATTAGTCATGTAATTTTTAACTGAAGGTGAAAACTTCTTCGTTTTACTTTTAGCAGATATATTTTTTTTTTCAGTTTCTGTGGGTGATACAATAGTTTTGATTGCAAATATAACATTCTTTGGAACGAATTGGGACGTTTTTAAAATTAATAAGTTATTTTTTTTTCATGATGATTTATCTACGAATTATATGAACTCTATCTACTTGATCAAAAAAAATAAAAATAAAGGAAAAAAGCTCAGGGCAGGTGTGAAAATAATCAGTGTTTGAATATTTCCTTGAAAGTCCAAAAAAATTTAATTTATGATGAACAGTTATAAGTGATTCAAATATTAAATTTTACCAGGAAGCAGTCAATGCAAATATTGCTTTGTAGTTTACATAATGTGAATTTTGTTAAATTCTTACTGCAATACCATTTACCTAGTTTTCGTTTAACAATGACATAAATCATATTATATTTACACCAAGTAATACCAGTATTTCTGAAAATGATTCCTGTTCGTTTATAATACTTTGAAAAAGTACAGCTTATACAATCAATTGTATTCAAAACCTTCCGTTGACACCTTTCGTTATATTGTTGAGAATATTACCTTTTCTTGATCATGAAATACATTTTAAGAAAGGTTTCATGTTATTAAAATTTAAAGGACTTTAATCTAACGCTAAAACAAGTGTTTATGATAGTTTAACTCAAGACATAGAGTAGTTGGAGAACAAATCATAGTATTCTTTTTATTTTATCATCGCTCATAATTACTTTTAAATTAATCACGATCAGTCTGATCATGCAAATTTCTTTCTTCTTAACTTATTGAAAAATAAATAGAAAATGCTGCGTTATGATACTATGACATTTACTAGTCCGAAATATCTGACGTTTTCCAAGTTTATTTTTTTTCCTATTTTGATATTTAACGTGCCAGAAAAACCTAACAAGAAAAATATCAAAATAGGAAAATAAAAAAAGAAGAAGAAGAAGTCTAGAAAACATTAGATATTTCGGACTAGACATTTACCAGTTTCAGTCTTCTGAATATAAGTGCTACATGTATATTTATGTTACACTTTCCTTGTTACTCTCTTTCTGTGTAATATTGAAGGCTTACATCTTAATATAGCTCGATGGATTCTGTTTTTACTCTCATATTGTCCAGCTGTATACTGGACATAAAAATCAAATTTTACTTATATTTGACACATATCTCTGGGCCCCTGAGGAGTTGGGGCATCTTCGTGCATTCTCGGTTTATACATACATCCAAAGGACCAGTCTCCACGTTCCACAGTGGATTCGAACCTGCGGCGTACATGTAAGCATCATGCAGCTCCTTATACTTAGCGACTTAAGAGCAGATCGACGCTTTGACCACTGCGTTACGCGGGCTGCTGAGGGTGGGGGTGTTAATAATTCCCGAAAATTAAACGTGTTTATGCTTATTTGTGTAAAAGAAAAAAAGCGACAGTCTTATTTTGGATATGTATGCAGACATGACACTGAATATAGTATACTTGATTTTTAAGAAGCATATAGATTGATTTTTTTAATTTCCAGTTATACATAGCCCTGTTGCAACCACTATTGAAATAACGACCACTATTGAAATATTTTTTTCAACAGTGGTCGTATTTCAATAGTGGTTGCATACTATGTTTGATATTGAAATGCACTCTCAACCACTATTGAAATAATTATTTCAATAGTGGTCGTTATTTCAATAGTGGTTGCAACATAGCCCCCACTCCCAATGCAACTGAAATTTTTGCAGTAATCCTTTAACCCTCACTGTAAGGAATGAGTGCCCTATGAGCATCTCATATTTAGCAAAACAAAACAAGAGAGAGAGAGAGAGAGAAAGAGAGAGAGAGATTATTAAATATTTGTTTTTGATACTCACCAAATCCAGAAGAACGACCTACTGAACTTAGCACAATTATTCTAAAAAACATAAGGCTATCCATTCTACGATTAATGTTACGATCCGTGCTACTGCGACGTAAGCAATAAATACATTATAAATGCTTTATATTGAAGGAAATGAAATGTTCTTTCATTGGAAAACAGGAAATCTTTGAATTGTATTGAGCGGTAACACACATCCGTTCCAAGTATAAATTGGGAACACGAGGACATGAAGGGACAAGTCTATTTAAAGAATCTTCCGAAGAGTAACAGGGCGCAATGATTCTTACATTCTTCAATCTCAATGATATGTGAAAGGATAGTTGGGTTTTTCATTACTTTAATGAGATATATCACCAGAGCAATAAAGAAATGAGATAACTAGATTAAAGGTACTTGGACACAGATTTGAAGTTATTATTTTCTCTATAAAATTACGACTTATATATTTTAATACTTATAGCATTTCACACAAAAATTAATTAAAAGTCTTATTTCATATAAAAGATATTAAAATTTCAAATTTTTTGGCGGGTTTGATTGACACACCCTTGCATTTTCACAAATTAATTTTATTCTTAATCCTTAGGAAAAGTGGCAATCTCGTTGTGTATAAATGAAAAATATTAATACTATAATCCAGAAAATTCAGAGTTGATATGTTCGAAAGCAAAACAAACACGCAATATTTTATCAGTCCGTGCAGTTGTGGTAAGCAGACTGTGACGATTGAACGCACCCGTTGAATTGTAAACATCAACAATAACAGAACTCGTGCCCTGTTTACAAAAACTGTGTACATAACACGAGTGTGCTCGATTTGCTAAACTCTGTATGCAACTCTTAGATCGGAATGATAATACTTGTGACGGAGTTCTGCTTTCTAACATTTCTACACTGAATAAAATTATTTTTCTGAATAAAAGTTTCAATATTTCTCATTAATACACATTATTGCCACTTTTCTTAAGGATCAAGAATACGGTTAAAATTTGTGAAAGTGCAAGGATGTGTCAATCAAACCCGCAACAAAGGATGTATTCGCTTTGACAAAAGAATTGACCTATAGGAGAGAACAAATTCCCGGAAAAAGTAACATTCAAATATTAATCTTTATTTGTTGTTTTCTACAGTATATATGTCTAAATTTTTCAAATTTGTATTTTAAACCTTAAATTTATCATTTACAACTTTACAATAAACCTCCAAAGTTGGTTGAAACACCATTTTGTCCGTTAAAGCGTTGATTTTTGCATGAATTTTGGCCTAGAAGTCCTTTAGGGCAGGCCTGCCCCTAAATAAAATTGTGATATTTTGATAGATTATGATGTAAGGAATGATTTAAGATATGACTTTTTTAGGGGCACCCCTGCCCTAAGGTCGAAATTCACAAAAAAACTACAAAAAATAAGGAAACCTGATTTTGAAAAATCTGCTTCAAATTCTAACCTGGCATTGTTATAGACGGACTAGCTCAGTTGATATATTAGTTGGTTTTACACCGTGAAATGCTTCTTTTTAAAGTCGCGGGTTCGAATCCACCTGGTACCACACTTTTAAAGTTTTAAATTTCGCCTTTTCAAAGACTATTTTAATTTTTTTTAATAGACTTGTGTATTTTCCTTCAATTATCTATCCCTTATGTATGCCCATTCTTGATACAAGAAAAACTAAAGAGATGTCAGATCGTAACAATCAAATGTGCAGTTGTCAGTCAGGCAGAACAAACCTCAGTATAAGCACACTTTCTCCGAGGACAAGAATAACTCACTCTGTGTTACTCAATGCAGGTATCCTTGGAAGTATTGAGCTGCGACGAATTTCAATTGTATATATTCCCTAGAATTTAATCACAATGATTTTGGCTACATATATCAGTAACTGTACTCCCTTGGATTTCATTTATGCCTATATAATTTGCACACATTAATGACGTGTTTTATTATATCCACGGATAAATAGTGTAGCGAGATAGCGCTTAAATCTGACACCGTAAATATAAGTAACTGGATGGCTCTCAATAAATGATACTTTTGACCCCCGACAACTTTCTGATCTTTTTTTAAACCAATTGATTTTTAAATTAAATGATGGACTCCGTAAATAATTAAAATAAGATTCAAATATCTTGAGATGATGGTTTATTTTGACTTAATCTCTTAACAAACAAATCAATTAAAGTTCAAACACTTACAAGATTCAATCAAGAAAGTACAATAAAAAAAATCAAAGTGGCTGCAGACGTCCCTAAACCCTAAATTTACCCAAAAATATTGAGCTTCCCTAAGACATAATTAATTTCTAAAACGACTCTAATAAATAAATGCTAAAATATTACTTCTCCAATTTACTGAATTAAAAAGATTGAGAAAATTTCCCCAAAGTTATTAAAATTTCACCTACATCCTATCTTAAACCCAAAATAATCCGGAGTCCCCGTTATACAACGGTAGCTCACTTATATACCCTCGGGAAACGGTCCCGTTCTAAAACGCAACGGAATCCGTTGGAAAGCAACGGAATTCCAGCAGGAAAATACAACGAAAAATAGTTCCCGTCTATTAAAAATTACTTTAACAAGTATGAAATATGAATAAACAATAACTCTAATTCATTAATGCATCATAAAACATAATTAATTACCTTAAAGCTCATTTTTCCATGTAAAGGCAAAAATCGGTCAGCGCATAAATATCAGATGCGCGGATCAAGAAGTAAACGAAAATTCACCCATAATGCATTGCGCCGCCATGTAAATAGAAAACAGACTACATGTGCTTGCATAATACAGGTAAAATATTAGTGAAAAACGTAATTTAATCAAAACATCTAGTAGATCTTACTCTTTTTACAACATTTATGCAATTATTTCAACAAGGACATTATTAAATACGAAAGGATATGCATGTATTACATATACTCGTTCTACTTTCACTTTGCATACGAAGACATGAAAAGTTGTGAATCCAATTTTTGAACATCATCTTATAAATATACAATACATGCGGTCAAATTACTCAAATTATAAATCATTCTTAGGATTTAATTAATATGCCAATATTTGTATTCTAAATACAAATAAAATATGGAAACTTGAAATGACCAAACATTACATTTACCCCTCCGTTTAAAGTTTCATGTCCCCATGAAACACAAAATTATAGAATATTTCAATAACAACAAACTTTTATAAAAAATTATAACATATGATACATAATCAGTGAACTCACTGCATATAATGAATACATCATTCGCCCTACTCAAATACCATGAATACTGCATACAACTCAACTTTTAATAAGTACAATTCAAAATGAAATTCATGGATGGCACATCTTTCAAAATATGGCACATAATTTAGAATAGTTAAAAACCACCCACCAACCCATCTAAACTGTCAAATTGATCCCTGTTAAATCCAAATGTACATAATCAATTAACACACTAAATAATCTTAGATTAACAATAAAAATAAACATCCATATTACATTCTGTGATAATTAATAACCTTTCAACTAAATTGTTCACTTTTCACTATCTGAATCTCTTCACGGGCCCATAATTTTGAAATGGTGCTGGTCTTCGGTAGTTCCTAATGGGTGATCTCATAAATCTTCTAGGTTCCTCATCTCTTTGAAATTAGTTCCCCTCTGAACCTGTAGTTCATGGTTAATGTTCCTCATAGGAAGGATAATTCAGGAGACAACATCTGTACATAGCTAATCCTTATAGGGTTTAAGCTTGTCATGATGTATAACTTTCTGGGTATGCTTGTCAAGGGATTTCACTCTGTAAGTAAGGCCTGAGATTTTCTCCACAATAGTACAAGGTCCCCAGTAACAATTACTAAGTTTCCCTGTGTCAGATTCATTTAGAACCCAAACTTTGTCTCCAACCTTGTAATTATTGAGAAAAGTTTTCAGATTATAGAAGTGTCTTTGTCTCTCTGCAGAGCTATTTAAGTGCTGCCTAGCTATCTTGTGTGCTTGTTGTAAACGATCCCTTAGTGATTCCACATATTCCCCATAGTCTACCACAGAGTTATCTTCCTTTGTTCTACTGCCAAAAATGATCTCTGTAGGAATTCGCACTTCGCGTCCTAGCATCAAAAGATTTGGTGAAATACCTGTTGATTCGTGTACACTTGATCTGTATGCTGCACCAAGGCATCCTAAATACAAGTCCCAGTCTGTTTTGTCATCTTTGATATAGCACTTAATCATTTTGAGGAGTGTTCTATTGAACCTTTCAGTTTTCCCATTGCATTGAGGGTGACGTGGGGTAGTTCGCGTCTTCTTTATTTCAAGAAGTTCACATAATTCATGAAAAAGATTACTTTCATAGTTACGACCTTGATCTGAATGTATTGACTCTGGACAACCAAACCGACTTATAACCTCATTTAATAGTACCCTAGCTGTTGTGACTGCTGTCTGATCTGGAATAGGAAAAATTTCAACCCAGTTACTGAAATGATCAGTTGCCGTTAAAATATATTTGTTTCCCCTTGGGGTCTCTGGCAATGGACCCAGTATATCAGTGGACAACCTGTCCATAGGAGCTCCTACAGTCATGCATCCTAAACTTGCTCTCGGTTTGTGGTATGGTTTCCTGTTTTTCTCACAGACTTTACAACCTGACACATGAGCTGCAATATCCTCTTTCATTTCAAACCAGAAGAAATTCCGAGAAACTTTATCTTGGGTCTTTTTCCTTCCCAGATGACCACTCAGTAAATTGTCATGTGCTAAAGTAATTACTTCCTTCCTTAATTTCCTGGGGGTTACAAATTGCAAGTAAGATCCAGAGTTGTCTTTCTTGTGAAATTCTTTTAGCAATAGTCCATCTTTAATTTGAAGAGTGTCAAAGATATGCCAGTAGTATCTAACAGCTGGTGTTTGCATTAAAATTTCTAACCTATCAGGCCTAGTCTGGTTCTTCACCCATTCATACACGGGACCTATGTCTGGGTCATTTAGCTGATCTTTCTGTAATTGACTTCTACCGTATTTTGTCCAAAATGTAGTATAACCCTTCTCTTTGTTCTGTGTTTGTTGTCTAGTATTCACT